AAGCCATTGCTACATGGACCACGCCTCTGGTACAACCTACTATCAGCCAACTAGTCCAAGTCTCTGCCGCGTCTATCCTGCTTCTATCCCTAATACCAAGTCTATGACTTCCCCTGCCCTAATCTCTTGTGGGCCAACACACAAATGCTGTGGTACTGCTTGCTTTTATTAGGTTAAATGCACAAGGATGAAGGGGGGTGAGGACGACAGCGTGGAGTGTGAAGGGTTTTCATGAATGCCGCTCAAAGGGCACATCCACACCACATCGAAATAAGCACCGTAAAAATGTAACAGGGAAGGTGTGATAGTAGGATATAGGAAATGTGAATAGCCCAGGGCAGAAGGGGAGATAACACAACTGTTTAGCACACGTTTGGTCAAAGTATCGGCTTCACTTGTCTCTTTTGACGAGCTGTAGTATGGTGCTACGAATGGCGAGACTCACTGACGATGCCGAATACGATGCCTGGAAACGTCTGGGAAAGTACCACGTCCACGGTCCAACTTTGGGAATAATCATGCATATTATGGACTGCGGATTAGGTACGTTCCTCTAAGTCTTCCTGCCAATATGACCAAGTTTCGAAAACAAGTTCAAACAACTTCTACACAACAAAAAGAAACTGCGACCACACAATCTTGGTCTTCATACCTTCAGGGATATACTTTGAGGTCTAGCCCAAGCGAATTTCATTCTATATAAAATATTTGGACTCAGGACTTGTTCGAACTATCAGACAATACTGCTCATCTATCTTTCTACCAGATTATACAAAGAAAGAGTCATCGTGGCAAACTTGAAGGATCTACAATGATGTAAAGACATTTGATGTTAAACAAAAAGAATGTCTAAAAATGGCCAAATATAGTGAAATCCGGAAATCGAAATAAAATAGCCCGACCATCCAAGGATTTTGGCCATAGACAACTAAGTTAGACAGCACACATGGCTTTCAATCACATAAGAATATGGCACTAGCATTTTAGGGCATTAGCAACTTCGCTATTATGTTGACAGTAAACTTTATTTACTTGCAGCACTCTTTCGAAATCGATTAAAAAGCAATAAACAGTATTAAAATACATCCAATAATAATCAAATCAATAATAACGAAGACCAAAATGTCCCCTTTGATGCGAACAAAATTGCATAAATTAGAGCGCAGTTAAGATTAGAGTCAGCCTGCTATATATTCGATCCCTAATCAAATCAAGCATCTAGAGTCTGAAATATCGTGGCCAAAGTAACAAAATTCACTAAAGCTAAAAATAGCACATTTTGATCTTTTTATCAATGAAAGAAGGATTCTCCTGTTATGTAAGTGATGAGAATTTTTTTAAAAATTTTAAGAAAGTGAGTAGCAGTGAAATGCTTTATCTGATAAACCTGAGTAGATAAATGGAGAAAATTATGTGATGTTCGGTACAGCTGCGGCAAATGCTATTCGTCATCAACCTCTAGTGACGCGGTCTGAATTACAGGTCTGTAATGCCCTATGGATTCAAGCAGAATGTGCATAAATGTTAGCTTTATAAAAGAAACAAAATAAATAAATTACTGACCTGGGCATAGATGGTGAGATAATAGACTCCCCTGGCAGGAAGACGGAAAAAAAAGTTCAGTCTGTCCCGTGTTGTTTCTTGCAGGGTATAGCATTTCAGGTCAATTGGATTGCCCGGAGGTGCTTTATCAATTAAATCAGTTGCAGAGGCCTTGGGGTTTGCGCGCAGTTCTTCGGGCCTGGGGTGCTTGTAGCTTGGAGCCAGATACTGTAATTTGTATGTGAAGCAACCAGGGCGCCAGAAGCCCAAAGCCATGCGGAGATGACCATCGAGTGTGTGCACAACTCCGTGATGCTGGTCAAGAAAGTCCATGGCACATTTGAAGAATTGGGACTTAGTCAAGGGCAAATTCTCGAATTGAGATAAGTTGAGAGGCTGAGGAAGAAGCTGCCAGCTTGCATCTTCAGGGAAATGGCTGTAGACGGCCTGCAGAGACAAAGCATGAAAATATATTAAGAGAATTACGCCCGTGAAGAACCCATCAATTACTATCCCTTGGTAAATGGATGATGGTCCAACCTTTATTAGCGAGTTTATTTTCTTATGAAAAATATGATCAAATACAAATTTCTAATATCCTACTAGGGAGCCAGTAACGTCACCAGTATAATCAGAAATCAACGTGCTACAAACAATAACATGTTAATATTAAGTTGCTTTTGCAGCACAAGAAGCCCTTCCAAATTATCATTTTGGGAAAATTGTTTAATTGTAACTATGACTTCCTTGGCCTAAACATTATTTGTATGATGCTGATTGCGAAACAATTTGGTCAAAATTATATAAAAAAGTAATTAAACACTAAATTGCTTATATTTAAAGATTTTAATTGCCTCTAAATTGTGAAGAGATTTTGAAATCACATACATTTCACGAAACAAATATATAATGGTACGAGGGGGCTAAAGGAATTATGATAAAGCTTCATTATAAAAAACGAGGGTTCGGACAAAACTGTAGATACCTATTCTTATTACAGAATATACTTTTTATATATCTAGTAGAGGGCCTTAAAGCCTAGTCAATTATTGACTTTAACTTGTCTAATTTCAACGCTTTAAATGGCTTTTAAGATTTTTTCCATTAATAAAAAAAATTTAAAAGAAAAGATTTATTATATTGGTTTGTCCTCGCTTTCACAACTTGGTCGAAGCGAAAGAGAAACCTTTTAGAACATAACTAGACCTGATCCCTCTATCATGGTCATTTCCAGCAGCAGACCAATGGTAAATAGCAGGACGTTTCGCCAGTGTCGTTAGTGAAAGACGCCATCCTGAGCACTCATTAAATTGAAAAGTTGAGGCAATCCCTTTGACCAATTTTTATGTTCAACCGTTGTTGCATTTCCCTTCTCTCCTGGTCTAGCTCCTGGTACTGTATCCTCATTCCTCAATCTTGCCAACACCTTTCTGCGTCTTCATTTTTTTTCAATTACCCCAAAAAGTGTCACTTTAAGTGGGTTTAGTGAAATATAATCACCTTTGAAAAACCGGTATGTGCTTTACTTCATTTAAAAGTGGAGAATTGAAGCAGTCTTACCCCACATTGGCGGGTTAAAATTGAGCCGGAAATAAGGCCCAAAAAGATGAGAGAATGGGGTGGAGATGTGGAAGAGGAAACCAGAAACAGGGGTTCTGCGTTTCGTCTATAAAATGGGTTTTTTAAACTACCAGTAGGTCATTTATATATGAAATGTAATCATTCTATTTCGCTTAAGGTGATGGAGGAATAGTAGTTTAATTTTTACAACAGCGATATGAATAGACATGACGTTTCCATTGAATTTTACGTAGCCTTGCTTCTCCAAAGGGATTCTCATCCAGACAAGGATGGACTGCAGTTTTAACCTCGCATAATTCTTATCAACACCCTCAACGGGACTCTAGCCATGTAGGGGTTCTGACGCTTAGATGGCTGCATGCGTGAGAATCACAGTTTTGAAAACGGTCCTCGCTAAGGCTATCGCACATGTTCAATCATATTTTCGGGAGATTCAAATAAGTAATGTCTCGAATATACTTGATTCGATGGTAAGTTGGTTAAAAGGAATTCGTGAACTGGAATTATTTAAAACCGAAGCCAAAGAATAAAGACGGTAGGATCCCTCTTCCATTTCCGGCAAGACCAACCAATTTTTCTTCTAAAAGGAAATTCAAGTCATAATAACTCACTAACGGATTCTTCGAGCTCCCCCTTTTTTTCATAAAACCATCGAATATGACAAAGCAGAACTCATAGACTGCCAGTTAAACAGTGACGTTCATATATAGCTTGGAACAGATGAAATAGAAATGGACCTAACCGCTTGAGATTAGTTAAGTCTATTAGCATAAATAAACAAGTTTAATCATATAATTTACGTTCGGCCTTTTTCATAAAATGGAAGTTTGGTAAGAAGCTATTTATGCTCATCAAATAAACGAAAGCAAGAGATAAGATATGCATTGGTAAAGTAAAAGAGGTTGTGTATACAACGGATCTTATTTAAATTCCTAATGTGAAAAGATAGTTACTCAGGATATAGTGGAAAAACAGAAGTATTGCAAAGCTTAAGCGGCTTCAAAGGTGATTCTTAGAGAGACCTCGCTCACTCAAA